TTCCTCAGTCTGGGAAGTTAATAGGTCAACAAATGTTTGCTGCTCAGACTGGGAAGAACCCCTTCTCAAAGGGATTTTACTTTCTGCCTTGTCTAGCAAAGTATGGCTTTGAGAAGCTTCCTTGTCAAAGAGCCACTTTTTTTCCTCTACCTAAAGAAACTGCCGCTCTGAAGTCTGTATGTATCAGTTTTTGTTATTTTGCCACCTGCTGGAAGTCTTGCTGCTCTGCAGGGTTTCTGTCTAATCAGGAATCTGTGAGCTCCTAGTTTAGGAACTGCCTCTGCTTTTTTAAGGAAGAAACTAAAAAAAAAAAAAAAACAAACAAAACTGCTCTATAGTTTTACTTTTCTATGTAAGTTCTTGCTAGATTACTGTAAATTCTGCCCCCCCCATTAGGTGCCATTTGTTGTAGAATATTAATATTTGTTATTTAACTTTTAGTTAAACAGTGCTTATTCCTAAACCATTTGTATACCCAACTCACCACACAGAGACTAGAATTTATTTAATTAACCTAGAGCGCAATGCTAGACAATTGCGCTCCATCCTAAACCTCCAAGCCCGCATTTCCTTAAATGATCTCTGCTCTCCTACTCCTCCCACTTGCTTCTTTCTCATCCCCTGTGGACCAGGATGTCCCACCCTATTCTCCATTGTGCAGGACTGACTGATTGTTTCATTGAAATTACAGAGAACAAATAGTGTCATTTTTATACAAACTTGAGACAGGTGATGCTTACAATAAATATCACAATTCAGTGATTGAATTGTGAAACTATTGAAACTATTTAGTTGGATAGATAAATCAGCATTTGAATGAATAAGGATAAATTGTATACATTTCACAAAAACATTATAGCAACAATGTAGTAAATGACTGAAGGAAGCATGTCATCCTCAGGAGAGGTGAATATCTTGACAAGATGAAGTTACATAAAGTGTTGTGTTCTACATGATGAATCTCCAAGTTCTTCTCTCATTAACATGAGAAAATCAAGAAGACAATTCAACATACATGTAAAACATATTTAAAGGGAACAAATATGATAAATAAGGAATGATGAAAGAAAAGAATCTCACCTACAAAGACCAGGTTGCTATAGTCCTCCAACATGACATCTAAATACAAAGCTCTCTTTGCAAAGTCCAGGCATTCCCACTCCTGAGAGAGGATGAGAGTGGCCACATCCTCATATGTCATAGTATCCTATCATGAAAGGTAACTCTTTTGAACGTCATGTGCCCAGGTACAAAGTTCTTTACTTAAACTATGTAAATATGAGTTCATCATAAAACTTCAACTGTTTTATGTAGGCATTACTCTAAAAGATATCATCTAAATTACCATCTCTGGTAACAAAACTGTGTTTGGGGACCAGTATAGGCTGCAGATCAAAGACTGCAATGGGATGTGTGATTGAGGGGCAGATTATCTTCCTGTATAGTTCTGGGTCAAGTCACTGTGACATCAAGGGCTTCTATTGTCCAAATTGGTGCTGTAGTAACAGCTGACTGGAGAGATATGAGCTGCAGAAATGCAACCAAGGATGTATATACAACTGGCAAAGAAATGGAGCTGAGATGAATAGCAAGAGGCAGAATTGCCATATCTGTCAAAGAGGCAAGACTCTTGCTCCACATGGCTCCAGTATCATCAATGAAAAAAGACCATGGACATGCTGCCTCCCATGCTTTTTCAATGACACCAAAGGCATGCTGACTCAGGAAGAAACTGAACTTCTAAGGACTGAATAAATGCTGTGAACACTGTGGACAGACTGATAAAGGAAATGTGGAGCCAGTAGATTGTGTATCAGATCCGTAGCTCCTTTCATAAACCTACAGGGTCCCATCACTCCTTCCAGAACACAAGAAGAGTATGAAAAGTAAAGCATACTGTGTTACTCGTCAAAACTGTACCGAGAAACCAACAAAACCAAAAAGAAATTTAATTAAACAACTGTATGGATAGCAATCCCTCAAATCTGCTTCTTAGGATTTGAGCTAGCTTTAGAAATGCACCTTATCCTTCAGTACACATTGCTCTTTGAAAAATCACAGATTTAGGAGGAAGTATAAAACTACCTATGAAAGACATGCCTTGGTTGACAGTGTAATTATTTATTGTACTTTCCATGCTGTCTTTCTTTTCTTCTTTCATTAATGTATTCACTCTTATTCAATTACATTGTAACATTTTTTATATTGTTGTATTTTTTATTTTGATTTATGGTTTTTCTTCATGCTTCATTGGTCCACAGGGGTCTTCTGTTCTTCCAGTATAAAAAACAATACTTTCCTATCATTCCTACATTATCTTCACTCAATCTTAATCGTACACTTGAAGTGCTAGATGAAGAAATTAAGGAAAAGAAGGAAATTACAGGGATAGTAAAAAGGAAGGAAAAAGTCAAACTATCCCTCTTTGACATGATACGACACTTTATTAGAAATACAAAAACATCTGCCCCAAACAAATTAAGAAATGATCGTCAAACCCAGCAGTGTTGTAGGATACATAATCAACTTGTATAAATCTCCTTCCCTATAAAGCAACATCAAACATACAGAGAAAGAAATTGTTGACACATTCCCATTCATAATAGACTAAAAGAAAATAAATGAACTAGGAACAAACCTAACCAATGAAATGAAGCACCTCAACAATGAAATCTTTGAACTTCTGAATAGAGAGAGATAGATAAACTTACTAGGAAAAGGGCAGATAGCCATGTTTGTCTATTGATAGAAATAATGCTGTAATGTGACTATCAAATGCTCTTGACAGATTTAAAGAAATCTAAATTGAAATATTAATTGAAATTTCATTCTTCAGGAAGATAGAAAAAAAAAGGTGTCCTAAAACCTATGATAAAACAACCTAGATAGATAATACAATCCTGAAAAATAAGGGGTGGGGCAAATTACAATTTCTTCTTTTACTTTTTCAAATAATTTAATAACTGTATTACTTTTCAGTTGCTTATTAGGATTTTTTCTTTTTCTTTTATTTTTATTTTTAATCAATTGCAGTTTATTTAGTTTGCATTCCAGCCGTACTACCCTCCGTCATTACCTCCCAATCCCACATTCCCTTCCTTATCTCCTCCCATGCCCCTCTCCAAGTCCACTGAAAGGGGAGGTCCTCCTTCCCTTCTCTCTGACCCTCTCTTATCAGGTCTCATCAGGAGTGGCTGCATTGTCTTCCTCTGTGACCTGGTAAGGCTGATCCCCAATCAGGGGGAGGTGATTAAAGAGCCAGCCACTGGATTTATCTCAGAGACAGTCCCTGTTCCCATTACTAGGAACCCACTTAAAGACTGAGCTGCCATGGGTTACATATGTGCAGGGGTTCTAAGTTATCTCCATGTATGGTCCTTGTTTGGAGTATCAGTCTCAGAAAAAAACCCTGAGCCCAAATTTTTTGGTTCTGTTGCTTTCCTTGTGGAGCTCATGTCCCCTCCAGATCTTTCTATCTGTCCCATCTTACAGAAGATTCTCTGCACTCTGCCCAAAGTTTGGCTATGAGCCTCAGTATCTGCTTTGATACCTTGCAGGATAGAGTCTTTTGAAGGCCCTCTTGGTAGGCTCCTGTCCTCTTCCCTGTTTTCTCCCTCTTCCGATGTCCATCCCATTTGCCTTTCTGAGTGAGGATTGATCCTCTTACCCAGGGTCTTCCTTGTTGCTTAGCTTCTTTAGGTGTACAGATTTTAGCATGTTTATCCTATATTGTATTCCTAATATCGACTTATAAGTGAGTATATAATAACCTGTGTGTCTTTCCGCTTATGGAATACCTCACTCAGGATGAATTTTTTTCTAGTTCTCACCATTATCCTGCATTTTATAATTTCCTCGTTTTAATTGATGAGTAGTATTCCATTGTGTAAATGTACCACGATCTCTGTATCCATTCATCCATTGAAGAATATCTGGGTTGTTTCCAGATTGTGGCTATTATGAATAAAGCTGCTACAAACATGTTTGAGCAAATGTCCTTGTTGCATACTTGAGCAAAATTTGCATATATACCTAGGAGTGGTATGGCTGGATCGTGAGGAAGCACTATTCCTAATTGTCTGAGAAAGTGCCAGATTGATTTCCAAAGTGGTTGTACACGTTTGCATTCCTTCGGACAGCCAGGAGGTAATGGGCAGGTAAGTAACACAAAACTAAGAATTGCAATGTCCTAACGATATTTAAATTGTTGAAAGGTTACTCTGAAGCCTGATCCTTAAAGGAACTTAAGGAAGATAGCACACGTGGATGCAAAATTTGTTATAGCCTGGCTCCTCTTTGAGCATTAGACAGAGCTGAATGAATAACCTCATTAAAGTAGGCAAAGCCTACTCCTGACTTCTGCCCCTTCTCCTTGCCTGACTAGTGGAAGCCATGCCTTGGGCTCTCTCCTCAAACTCCCTCTGGGCCAGCCTCGGAGTAGGCAGTGAGCTAAGCAGTAGAATTTGGGTAGAGTGCAAGGCCACCAGTTTCTGGGAAAGCTACATTAGGGTGGGGTATGGGAAAACCTGCAGGAGAGAGGCGTCGAACAGGCAGGAAGTGGAATGGTCCCGTGGGTCTTCCACTGGTTAGCCTGTAGTTGTAGGCCAGAAGGCATAACCTGAGGCAGGACCCCAGAAGCCCGAGGGAGGCATGGCTGCTGGGCTGTTTCTAAATTGCAACCCTGTGGCCAGCAAGGGGTGAGTTGCCTCTGGGGACACTTCCTCAAGTCTCCCAGGCAGGTGGAGGTTCCCCCTCATGATCCCTTGGGTGGAGGTGGAGAAAGAGGCTTTGCAGGTGTGGGATTTAATGGCCTGACCTCCAGGCTGGGGGCTGGGTCTTGGCTGGTGACCTGGGTCTCAAGGAGGTAGGCAGGTCTACAGGACTGTATTTAAAGGGAAGTAGTGGCCTCCTACAGGCAATTACCATAGTTTGGGCTTCCCTGGAGTTGCTCTGAGTATACACTGGAGAGGAAGGCCTCCTGGCAAAGCATCCTTGGCAGGATGGAAGATCAGAGAGATCTGGGTGGCAGCAGCATGGCCAAAGAATCCCAACATAGAAAGATTGATTGGCAGGCCAGAAGGAAGGAGGTCTTGCTATCAGGTTTCACCAAGAGCCCATACCCGAGCTTCAGTGCCAGGCAGGAATTGTCCAGGGAATTCAGGCTCACAGAGTTCTGCATCCACATGTGGTTTCAAAACCGCAGAAATGTAACTGGCATGTCGGGGAAGACCCCAAAGCTGTCCATGCCAGGCTTACGTCACAAAGCCTTCCAACCACCCCCTAAAGAGCTTGGTGCCAGGGCACAAGAAAGAGGCATGCCCTCAGAAAGGAAGAGGCTTCCAACGCGACTTAACCCGGCACAGATCAGCAAGCTAGTGCAAGCTTTTGAGACTGGTTCATTCCAGGCTATGCTACAAGGGTGTGACTGGCACAGGTTTCCTCGAGGACACAGTCCAAAATATGGTTCCAGAACAGAAAAGCCAGGTACCACCACACTGGCGGCAGCACAGTTAAAGGTCATGACCTGCTGGCCTCTCCTGACCCGGATAGAGCTGGAACATTGTGTGGTAATGAGCAGGAGGATGCCCAGGACCGCTTGCTGCCATTGGGTTCTGCAGGAGGTATGTGTGGAGAAACGTTGCGCCCAACAGCCAAGCCCACTTTTTCCTTAGAGTCCTTGCCTGTGGCAGCACAGTCCTACCCAGAAGCCCAGATCTTCCTTGATCAACAGCTGACCAAAAAGGGAAATTGAACAACAGGCACTAGCCACCTGGATGCAAATGACCCATGGGAGCAGATCGAGGCAATACTTGAGGCTCCTCTCACAGAAGAATATCAGACTCTGTTGGACGATATTTGATCCTATTGGGACCCTCAAAATTGTGACTGTAAAAACCCTATTTCTTGGAGCCTAACTTGACCATTGTCTGAGAGTCTGAGTCTGGACAGGTGCTCAGACTTGCACCTAAGAATGGGGTGGAGCTCTGGTGATCCTGAGGAAGTATTGAGGAGAAGATGGAAGGACCTCAAGGTGTCAGGAACCTCACAAGAAGACCAACAGAGACAGCTAACACAGTCCCATGGGGGCTTTCAGAGACTGAGCCATCAACTAAGGAGCAGGCATGATCTGGATGTACGTCCCTGCACCTGTGTAGCTGAGGGGCAGCTTGTGCTTAATGTGGGTTGCCTGACTAGTGAGGTGGGGTGGGCCGTAGAGAGCTGTTTCTAACCTGGACTCTGCTGCCTGCTTTTCGGTCACTCCCCACCCCACCCCCGGCAGGGATGCCTACCCTGGCCTCAGGGCATGAAGATACCCTCGGTCCTGGTGTGACTTGATGTGCTGGTGAAGGTTGGTACAGGTGGGATAGGTGTTCCCGTTTTCCGGGTCAAAAGGGAGAAGGGAAGGGGGAGCAGTGGGGAGCACTGGCAGGAGAGGAGGGAGGAGGCACCCTTGGGAAGTAAAGTAAAGATACTGCTACTTTTTGAGTTGAAGGGTATTTAAGACAGCAGAAGTAGAGGGGACTTTTTAGCTCTTTGGCTTTAGCTCTCTAGCTTTCCAGCTCGGGGGGGGGGGGGGTCTTTTGGGTTTTGAGCTAGCAAGCGTTTTGCCTTGGAATTTTGGTCCTTTTCCTCCCAGACAGACAGTTGAGCTAGTGAGCCTTTTGGGCTTTTTCCATCAGGACCTGACTGAGAAGGAAGGTCATCTGGGTGCTTTCTCTGCCTCTCTGAGCTAGCAACTTTTCACCCAAGCATCTAAATCCCAAGTCGTTCTTGGTAAAAGAGAACGGTTGACATTATGTCCTCTTTTTTCTCTCACTGTTATTAAAAGCATATAAGTGTGTGTATATATTCCTGAATAAAATGAGATTTGGCCTCCCCACCCCCCCAAGGGAGGAGCAGTCCTGTTAGGCCACAGAGGAGAGCTTTGCAGCCAGTCCTGAAGATACCTGATAAAACAGGATCAGATGAATGGGGAGGAGGTCCCCCCTATCAGTGGACTAGGCAAGGGGCACGGTGGAGATAAGGGAGGGAGGGAGGGACTGGGAGGGAATGAGGGATCGGGACACGGCTGGGATACAGAGTTAATAAAATGTAACTGATAAGAGAAAAATAAAATTAAAAAAAATGAGATCAATCTACATAAATATGTGTCAGTGCCAAATTGTCAGGCATACACACACACACACACACACACACACACACACACACACACTGTACTGGCAACCAATACATGCTCTTCTCTGAGGAATACCATCTCTCCCACTCCCCATTTTCCTCAGCGCCTATAATACTTCTCATAGTATTGTTTTCTTGTAAGATCTTCCTTGGCCCCAGATTGGCATGTCCACTGTTGTTACCAATCTATCTCACACAGATTTGAATTGTAGTGATAGAACCTTTTAAGCAATATTCTGCTATTTCATGATATATTTTCAGCTGATATTATCATTAATGGAAGAGCTGACATTAATAATGCCCTTCCAGTTAACATGAGGCTCTCACCAAAAAGGTAAGAATGGATGAAAAATTTAACATTTTTATTGGAAAGACATACATGAAGTTAAAAACAAGCTTCAATATGTGTGTTATCTCAAATACTACCAGGGCAATAATGTTTACATAAAATATCATCATATTACAAAAACCAAAACATCCCCCTATATTACATTATGCATAAAACTGGAATAATTTGATTTTGGCTGTTTTTTAACACAGTCCCATGATATCCAGTCAAGAAATCATATTTCATAAACTCCTTAAAACAGGCACATTTTCTCATTAGTGATATTTGGTAACTGAATACTTTTGTCTCAAAGATTGATGCATAAATAGTTAATTTTCCAACAAATGTTTGATGCCTGTAAAGTCCATGTCTTCATAGCAGACATGGTTGAATATTTCTAAATGTACAGCAAGTGTAAAACTTCCTAAAGAGACTTTCGTAGTATTAGCTATGCTTTGAAGATTAATAAAAGTCCTGGAATCTGTGGAAAAACATGGTCCCTTGAAAACTAGTACTGTAAATTATTGTGAGAAATACTAAGAAAGATTATGAAGTTTGTGTTTCACATGAATATTATGATGCCTTCTAAGACATGAATATGTGATAAAGGATTTCTGACATTCTTGACATGTATAAAGTTTGTCCCCAGTATGGATTCTGTATCTAGAGTAAAGATTTGAGACCCAGGCAAAGCATTTACCACATTCTTTACATATGTAAGGCTTGTCACCAGTTTGGATTCTGTAGAGAGAGTGAAGATTTGAGACCTGGATAAAGCATTTGCCACATTCTTCACATCTGTAAGATTTGTCACCAGTATGGATTCTAAGGTGAGATTGAAAAGTTGAGTTATGGGAAAAGGATTTTCCACATTCTTCACATCTCTAAGGCTTTTCACCACTATGGAGTCTGTGATGACACTGATATTTTGAGACCTGGATAAAGCATTTTCCATATTCTTCACATCTGTAAGTTTTGTCACAAGTCTGGTTTCTATGGTGAGCATGAAGATGTGAGACCCAGGTAAAGCATTTGCCACTTTCCATTAGTAAGGCTTGTCAACTGAATGTATTCTGGTGTGAGCTTATAAAGTTGAGTGACATTCAAAGAACCTGCCACCGTCTCTATATTTGTAGGGTTTGTCAGAAGTATGGATTTTGTGGTGAGTTTGAAAATGAGAGGCACAAAGGACTGCCATATTCTTTAGGTTTGTCACCAATGTGAATTCAGTGGTAAACATAAAGATTTGACACACTGTTAAAAGATTTGCCACATCATTTCTCTCCAGTATGGATTTTCTTAGTGTATCCTAAAGTTTTAGTATTTCTGGAAATATTCTTCACATTCTATACATGTTTAAGTTTTTCTTGCAGTATGAGTTGTCCTAGGTGTAGTAATATTTGAGGAGCTCCTGAAATATAGTCTACATTCATCCTATTTGCAGAGGATCACTGTATGATGGATGTGGGGGTGTGTTTTATTAACTAAGAACTTGCTAAAGACTTGTCACATTCCTTACATGTATATGCCTTCCTTCTAGGTTAAATTCTCTTATGCCAGGCGTGGCATGAAGATCTTTTGAAACACATTCCATGTTTCTTATAGCTGTATTGCCTCTCTCCAGCAAGCATTCTCTTATGTCTGTTATGATATGTAAATCTCCTAAAGTATTTTCCATTTTCCTTACATGTTCATGGTTTTCTTCCAGCAAGAATTGATCATTAAAAGATAGACCCACAGCTGGTCATGGAGCAGATAAGAAAATGTTCAGCTAAAAGATGTGTGTGTGTGTGTGTGTGTGTGTGTGTGTGTGTGTGTGTATGTATCAAACCTCTTTCCTTACAGTGCGCAAGGCTCTGATAAAGAGTGACAAAAAATGGTAAGGATTAGAGATGATGGGTAATATATAAAAACAGTATTTTCAACACACAACATGACAGGTGCACATAGGAATTTAAGTGATTGTGATAGCATACACAAGACTAGAGCAAGGTCCACTCAATTTGAGATCACATAAGAGAAGAAGGACATGAATCACATTTACTCCCTAAGAACTTCTTAACATAGGAAGACTGCTAGCAGGAGAGCCCTTTTTGTTATTGGTGGTGGTATTTGTTGGTTCCTGTGTTTGCTTGCTTACATTGAAGAACTTGATCCCTGGTAGTTCAACCATGCTCCAGGCCAGATGCAACACCCAGGAGGACTTGGGCAGTAGATATTGAGCTCAACAGTTATAAAATAAGGCAAATAAACCTCACAAAGATGGTTTTGTATGAAGGGGAGGAAAGTGAGAAAAGTTGAGAACTTTAATATGGTCAAATTACTTTGCAAGCCCATCTAAAATAATGAATAAAAATATTAAAATAAAATAGAAACCACAAGCAAATTAAGTTTCTAAGGAAAGTCAAATGTAAATATCTAACACAAAGGAAACAAGATAAAATATAGCATTCACATGTAAATTAACATATTCTTAAAATATTTTAAAAGGCCAAAAAGTTGCATGACTTTAAACAATTCTGAACAAACTCCTAATATATTTTACAAATACAGCTAAAATCAGTTTGAATTCTGTAGAATTTAATTCAAAGTAAGAACTGTGCAATCCTCCAAAAGGTATACAGCTATAACATTTCTATATTCAGAATTTACATGATACTACAAAACAATAAAAACCATGTAACAAGAACAAACAAATGGTACATGAACTGCTACAGAACAAATATTCTTGTATTCACTGTAAAGTTCTTATTTAAATGCTAGTGTTGGTTTCAATATTGGGCATTGCAGGGCCTGCTAACATTCCAGGTTGTGTCAATGAAACTTCTTCCTTTCTCTTTAAAACACATTTTGAGTTCTATATTCAAAGTGAATTTTTAGTTCATTTCAGTTTGATTTCTGCCTTGCATTTCATCTCCCACATATGTTGATGTTTCATAGTGATTTACTTTGTTCTTTGCCTTTTGTCTCTTCTATGTCCATATTCCAGGGCCTTTTGCTTTGTTCAAGTTGATCAGCTCTGGTTTTGACACTGAAAGACCTGTGTATTAGAAAAGACCTATGACCAATTCTGGGGATAATAGTAAAAGCGCATGGGTTTCTATTACACCACTGTACTGATTACAAATTTAATTTCCTAATTGCTATCCCAAAATATTTTAAAAATTCAAACACACTTGTGTTAATATTTTATACCTTGAGTTTATTTTCTAATTACTCCTGACCTCAAATTTGAGCATGTTAGGAAA